ACAGTTAAAAAAAAAATCTTGAGTCTCCCTCAGCCATCTGTCTCAATGAGCAACCAGAACCTCATACATAAGGAAGCCACATGTGCATGTGAAGACAGAACATGTCATATTGTTTAGATGTGAGAGGCAAGTGACAATGTGGGACAATGCAGCATGAATCACTGCTCTGGCTGGGTGACACCTTACGGATGCCCCATAATTCTCAGCTGTTGCTGGTTACCTGGTGGGTAACTTTTCCCATCCTTCCCTTTTTATACAATCCAGCAGAACAGCTTCAGCTCTGCATGTCTGTTTCCCAGAAAATATTCAAATGTCATGATAGTGCTCCAGCAACCGTGCTGAAGAAGAAAGTGAGCCACTTTGGCTATATATAGACTACATCCCTCTTTCGACAGAGGGATGTAAATTAGACACATTGAAATTGCAAATGAATCCGGGATTTGAATTTCCCGCACTTTGTTTGCATAATTGGGTCATGGCATTTTCGAAAAACGCTATTTCAAAAGTGAAAGCACGGTCTAGACAGTTCTTTCGAAAAGAAAAGCTTTTTTCGAAAGATCCTGTAAACTTCATGGATCAGTACCCAGTGGATAAAGTACTTGCCTTTGGAGCCAGAAGTCAAGGGTTCAAGCCCCACCCTCAACCCCCTGGTCCATGGTTTACAGGATCTTTTGAAAGTTTCACTTTCAAAATAGCATTTTTTGAAAGAACGCCATGATGCAATTATGCAAATAAAGCATGGGAAATTCAAATCCTGGCTTCATTTGCAATTTCGATGTGTCTAATTTACATCCCTCTGTCAAAAGAGGGATGTAGTTTAGACGTACCCTTTCTGTCTTATACATCTGCGTGACCATATTGAAATCAACCTTATCGATCCCGCAGGCATACAGGGATGAAGAAGGTATTTAAGAGCTTTCCAAGCACGTCTAAACTATGGGGTTTTTTTCAAAAGGAGATATGCAAAATCGGCACTAATTCGCATATCTTCTTCTGATCACTTTTTTGAAAGCATTTTTTTTGAAAGTGAAAGCAGTTTAGATGGGGTTTTTTCAAAAGAACCCCCCTTTTTTTAAATAAACCTTCTTCCTTAAAAATGAGGTGTACACGGTTCTTTCAAGAAAGAGGGGTTCTTTTGAAAAAAGCCATCTAAACAGCTTCCACTTTCGAAAAAGCAATCGGAAGAAGATATGCAAATTAGCACTGAATTTGCATATCTCCTTTCGAAAGAAAAACGTAGTTAAACATGCCCAAAATGATGTCACTTTTAAGATAGAAAACAGATAGATTGAGAAGGGGAGGGAGAGAGAGAGACTTTTTCTTGAGGTGGAAGACTCAATCTCACGACCGTAGAAAGAAACATCACATAAGAGGGCAACCAGCATAATATTATAAATCACAATAAAGAAGACTGCCCATCTGGCACTAAACTGCAACAGGCCTTCTCTCGATGAATAACAGAGTACCTTACATTTAAATATCATTTTTCCTCCTGAAGGTTATTAATGAGCTTTATAAAAGGATGTGCATATGGATTCCCGCCACTGAAATGCCCTCACATGGCATCTGTTTACTACCACCCAGCATGGCTACCTAGCTCTTTAAGAAAGAAACTGAAACACATTGTGTCCAAATTGCAGTTGCAGGGGGAAGGATGTAGGTGAGCACCATTATACTGAGGGGTTGTATTTTACTAAATGAAGTGGATGGTACCCTGGCTTTCAAAGCACGGCCTGCCACGATTTATTGGGAGGTTATGAACTTTGACCAAGAGTTTCAAAAGTGACTGATTTTCAAGGCCCAATTTGAGAAACCATAAAGGAGACTGATTTTCAGAAAGCTCTGTGCACTTCCATAGACTCCTAGGGCTGGAAGAGACCTCAGGAGGTCATTTAGTCCAGCCCCCTGCCCAAAGCAGGACCAATCCCAGTAAATCAATCCACCCATGACTTTGTAAAGCCAGGACTTAAAAACCTCTAGGGATGGAGATTCCACCATCTCCCTAAGTAATCCATTCGTGGTATTTCACCACCCACCTAGTGAAATGTTTCCCTTTTGAAAATTAGGTGCCTTTAAGATGTCACAAGATCACTGGTCACTTTTGAAAATATGGGTCTTCGTTCTCTACTTGAGTAAGGGAAATCAAAACAGAAGTAGGGAACTTACTCAGGTTTGAGCAGACTAGCCCATCTTCGGTCATATTTCCTACAACTGCAATGCTTAACACAGGGATAAAACCAGACAAAAGGAACCAGGCTCAATCAGGGAAACTTAGTCTCTGGCTGTTGATCACATTCCTTCATTTTCCACCAACCTCCCCCTTCTCATTTTGGTCATCCATCTAGGCAGCAGCACTCACAGGTGTTGACAAAGCTGCCAAGTGCAGCTTCAGTAGCTTTTAAGGTTCACCGAGGTCCACTAATTCTTCGGCAACCATGCCATGCTTTTAGAAATGATTGCAGAGTTCTGTAGTTCATAAAAATTCCAGGAATATTAGCTGAATAATATGTCTAGTCTGTCAGTGTCGGTCCATTACAGACCCCCAGCCAGGCATTTTAAATCCAGGACAATGAGAGAATATTATAAAGTCGCCAGGCCGCAAGTCTGGTTTTCTTTGAGAAAGAGGAAAATTAATAAGACAGTCCAGAGAATGGGAAGAATTCCAGGAGACAAAGGAAAAGAATGAAAAGAGATGGAAAGAAGCCAGCGAGGAACGGAGGGAGATTGATAAACTGTTCTGTAGAGAAACATTGCTAACTTTGTTTACCATCTCATAGTACGAACGCATGCGGCATTCACACCTTGTAAACTCAGCAAAACTAATTTTGCAGCTGAGAAGTGCTTTCACAGAAGTCTCCTCTTTCTTGCTTAACATGCATTTTCTACGGCTGACATGTCCCCTTTCAGAACAGCAGAATGTAAAATGGATTTTTTTGTTGTTATTTTGGCCAGGCCAAGTCGCCTGGACTTGTGCTTTTAACTAAAACTGTGAGACTGTAAATGACCCCAAGTGCTCTGTAACACCATGCTGGGACAACGGCTCCGGAAGAAAGCTCACAACACCCCTGAGAAACAATTGTTACTGCCCATTTTACAGCTAGGTATGCTAAGATGGAGAGGGGTTAATTGAGTTTCCCACGGTCAAACAACAATCCAGTGGCAAAGCTCAGAACAGAATGAAGGAGTCTTAATTAGAAGACCCCCAGTCCAACCCCTAAACAACCCTCCCTCTCTTTTTACCCTTCCTTCACTTCATCATAAGTTAAGGTGGTGGCATTCAAATGTTACAGCATATATCCCATAGGAATGGAATGCCTTCCATCCATTCCTACCAGTGTACCATGTCTTTAGGAGCACAGGTACAATGCATGAAGGGCCTAATCCAAAGCCTGTAACACTTACAAGAGTCTGTCCACTGATTTCAGCAGATGTTGGATTGGGCACTAAATGCCAGTGTTGTTTTCAAGTCGTCATTGTCAAGTCCAAGTCGAGTCTCATGTCACTACAGTTCAAGTCCCAAGTCGAGTCTCAAGTCTTAATTTTTAAAATGTCAAGTCACTTTTGTACAAACCATCAATATCGGCATTTTCTGACATTTTTTTCACCAAGTTGATTTAACAAAATTAGCAAGTCTCAAGTAGAGTCTCAAGTCACAAACAATGAACCCGAGTCAAGTCTCGAGTTGAGTCACCTAGGCGACTTAAGTCAGACTCGAGTTCAAGTCGTGGGACTCGAGTCAACAACTCTGCTAAATGCTGCCACAAATAAATACCTGGCGTTCACAGGGAGTGGATGACTTTCCCTGAATGAAATATCCACCCGCCCACCCACGTATGTGTTATCATCATTGCTTGCTCTAATGCCTTCTTGTCTTAGACACCAGTGAGCTCTGAGGAATACATGACTGATGCAGATATTAAGAATAACTCCTTGTCTCTCCTCCCTGTCAGTGTAACAGTACCATGATTATTGATTAGTGGCAGCCAGGAATAGGCCAGGCATGTAACTACTATTATTTATTAGTATTACAGTAGCATCCGGAAGCCCCAACACAGACCAGGGCCCCATGACACTAGGGATTGCACGAACATGGTAATTGATCATTTCTGCTCTGCAGAGCTTGCCATTTAAATAGACAAGACAGACAGGGAAACAGAGACTGGAAAGTGACTTGCCCAAGGTCTCACTGCAGGTCGATGGCAGAACCAGGATTAAAAGTCAACCTGGTGCCCTGTTGGCTGGCTCTTAGACAGTGCAGATCAAAAAGACACAGTCCCTGCCCCTAAGATTCTTTGAACAGTTGAATTTTGGACAATGACCAAACCACAGGGTGAGGATGGGGAGGGAAGACGGGGTTTGAACAATAAGATGCTGCTGCTACTCAGTGAAGGATAGTGCACAGCTAGGTCCAGCAGGGTTATTTTTACTTAATGGCACGTGAAGACATCAGTGACTGGCCTGAATCTCTGCTCGCTCTCACAGGTGTGAATCAGGAGTAATTCCACGGGCAGCAGGTGTACACAAAGAACCAAGAGCCAGCCCCAC